CAGGAAAAGAGTGTAGCAATTACTCTTCTAGAGGAAGTCCCCAGTCCAGACAGAATGAGAAATTTACATGGACAAGGATCCAGGCGATTATCATCCCACCTCTATCACAGCATGGGTAGGAGACCCACAGAACCACACAGAGCAGAAAGACAGTCTCAGCTGGCTAAATCCTTGCAAACAGCAGGGGTGCAGAGGCTCCCCAGATCCTGGACGAGGGGAAGAATGATGGGACCAGACTCACCACAGTACCAGGCACAGAGTAAGCATTCAACGAACAGTTCTTCAATGAGTAAATAAATTACAAGTCATTTTGAGAACCAGCTCTGTACCAAGTTCTTAGGTATGTGTTGGCCCTTTCTGGGACACCCTGCTGGGTCTAAAGCACAGTGGGACCATCATTCTAGAAGAGGCTTCCCAAAGTACAGAAAAGGAATATAGTTGGTGACATGTTACCAGTGTCAAATATTGCTGTATGTATACTGAGGGCACATATTTTCCTCTGGTAACGGTGAGGGATCTTCTGGAGCCACTTGGATGAGTACGCTTAAAGAGAGAGGGATTAAGCCCCATGCATTGGGTTCAATAAATTGTGTCTTGAAGGAAATATTGCAGGATAGGAGATAAGAAAGCTGGAACAAAGCAGAATGAATTATGTTTTCAAACCACATTTATCAACCAAACTGGGTCACAAGGCTTAAGTCCTGTGAGAATTCCAAACTAGAGACCCCACTAGTTGACCACGTGACAATATCCAAATTACTTCACCCAAAGCATTGTTGATTTCAGGTTTACCTCTAAATCATTCTCTTTAAAGAGTCAAATAATTTTATCAGATGCCTCTCACTATAGCCTCCTCAAGCTGACTTTCAGGATTTGAAGCTGAAGGACAAGATGTGGACATTAGTTTTGGAATAAGGATGCTTTGGGTAAAAGATGAGGGGTTTGTCCTCCATGAGAGGGGCAAGGCAGGACCTTTCAACTTTTGTTCCAAATATCCTTGTCCTGATTTGTTTCTCCCATGGAGGACAAACTCTTACAACGGCCTACTATTTCCCTGCCTGACATTTCTGTCACTATAAGAAGATCCTACATTTGGCATTTCTGCTTTCCCTTCCCACAGAGAATGTGTCTGGATACCTGAGGCAATTCTGTCCAAATTATCACCAGGAGAAACTCTGGAGTGTGTGCAAATAAAAAACCTAAAAGATTTCAGGGTCAAGAAGCAGAAGTCTAGTAGACATACTGGAAGTAGAAAACAAGCATGTTCCTTTCTTCCTGCCTTCCCATGAAGAAAGGCAAGAGAAAGTCTACTGCAGCATGTGGCTATGATTTGGGGGGATAATTTGGATGACCTCCCCAAATCTACTACCCCCAGCTTCCATAGTAAGAGTTTTAGCTGGACACAGAGTTGTCCAGCTAAAGCCTACATTTGCGTGCCTCCCTCGGAGCCAGATGTGCCCGACATAACCAAGTAAGCCAACAGAGTACACACAGAAGAGATGTGTACACTTCTGTCTTCAAATTTAAAACAAGCTGCTTTCTATGGATAAGCTCTCTTTCTCATTTTTTGCAGACTGTAATGCAGAAGTAATAGTCACTCAGATTTAACCATTCATATAAGGATAATGCACAGAGAGGGAACCTGAAATAACCTGGGTTTCTGAATGATCCTGTGGGCATAGCTGCCCTGCCAGCCTAGACTGGCTGGACTTACTCCTTGAAAGAGAAATGTGCTGGTATCTTATTTAAGCCCCCAGATCTGTAAGGCTCCTTGTAATATCAGTTTAGCCTAATTAATATTTAATCTCATTAACATATGGTCAAGTAATTAAAGCATTAAATTGAAATGAAACTGCTAGGTTTTTGTCCGTTTGTTTTGAGATAGTCTCACTATGTAATCCAGCCTGGCCTTGAACTCACTGTGTGACCCAGGCTGGCTTCAAACTTAAAATGTTCCTGCCTCAGCCTCCCAGGTGCTGGGATTCCAGGCATGGAACACCACACCCAGCTTGAAACTGTTCTTTTTAATGATCACAAACAGCTGAATATCAGAATAGAGCTCAACCTAATCAGAGAAAGTCAAATCTTTTAAGGATAGAAAAACATTCCTTCCTATTAGCTCCTTCACTCTATAATCAATACTTGGTGAAATGAAATCAATATTCAGACACTACCAAACAACACAGAAAGAAATTAAAAGAGACTTAAATAAAGGGAAAGATATACCAGGAGCAGGTGGGCAGAGGTCAATGTGATTTACCTCAGATTCAGTCTACTTTGTTCCCCTCCCTGGGTTCATGGATTGGAAAACATTACAGTTAAGATGTCAGTAGTCCCAAGATAATCCACAGACTTAACACAATTTCTATCAACAATCCCAGCCACTTATTTTGCAAAATGTAACAAAATGATGCTAAGATTCATAAAAAATCACAAGGAATTCAGAATGCCTAAAATAGTGTTGCAAAGAACAAAGTTGGAAGACTCACACTTTCTAATTTCAAAACTTACTACAAAGCTAGAATAATCAAGAAAGGGTGGTACTTGCCTAGTGATAGACATGGATTAAAGGAACAGAATTATAAATCCAGGAATAAACCCATATATTTGTGGTAAACTACATGACAAAGGTGCAAGACAATTCAATGATAAGAGAATGATAGTCATTTCAATAAATGGTGCTGCGACAACTGAATATAGTTTAAAAATATTATAGTTTGATTCCTACCTCACACCACATTAAAAAATTAAAGCAAAATGGATCAAAAACCTAAATGTAAAAGCTAAGATTATAATATTCTTAGAAGAAAACATAGGTATAAATCTTCACGAGCTTAGATTAGTCAGTGGTTCTTAGATATGACATCAAAAATACAGGCAACAAAAGCAAAAAATAGATAAATTACACTTTATCAAAATTAAAAACATTTGTGTTTCAAAAAAACACTATTAAGGAAGTTAAAAAAGTACAACATACAGAATGGAAAAAATTGTAAATCATATAGCTGGTAAGGAATTTTTTCAATCCTACAATTAAAGGACAAAGAATCAAATTTTTAAATTGGTAAAGGATTTGAACAGACATTTCTCCAAAGAAGATATACAAATGGTTAATAAAACATGGAAAGATAATTAACATCAGTAGTCATTAGGGAAATGCAAATCAAAACTACAATGAGATTCCATTTCACACAGACTAGGATGGCTATAATTACAACAGACAATAACAAGTGTTAAAAGGATGTAGAGATATTGGAACCCTCATATGTTGCTATGGGAATGTCAAAGGGAGCTGATACGATGAAAATAGTTTTCTGGTTCCTCAAAAAATTAAACATAGAATTACCATATAACTTAGCAATTCTACACTTGGGAGTATATCCAAGACAACTGAAAACAAATATCCACAGAGAAAAACTTGCACGTAAATGTCCATAGCAGCATTATTCATAAAAGATCTAAAATGAAAACAACACAAATGTCCATCATGCAACGAATGGATAAACAAATGTGTTTTATCCATATAAAAGATTACTATAAAACTATAAAACAATGGATTTGATTATAAGCTGCAATATGGATGAGTCTTAAAAATATTACACTAAATGTAAGAAGTGAGACACAAAAGAACACATATGGTATGATTCCATTTATGTGAAATGCCCAGAGTAGACAAATCCATAGAGATAGAAAATAAATTAGTGGTTGCCAGGGAATAATAGGACAGCAGATTGAGGAATGACTGATAATCGGGGTATGGGGTTTCTTTCTGGGGTGGGAAAAATGTTCTGGAAATACACAATGGTTGCAGTGGGTTGAATAGTGGCCCTAAAAAGATATGTAGATGTCCCAGTATCTGGAATCCTTATTTAGATTAGGATCTCCCCTAGAGTTTCAGGAGAGTGTGGCCCTGCTAACACCCATTTCAGACTTCTGGCCTCCAAAACTATGAAAGAAGACATTTCTCTTGCTTTATGCCCCCTTGTCTACAGTAATTTGTTATACCATAGTAGCCCTAGGAAGCTAGTAACAGTGGTGATCATTGCACAACTTTGTAAGTATATTAAAAATCACTAACTTAAATACATTAAAATGTAAGCTTTATGGTATGTGAATAATATCTCAATAAGGCTATTATTTAAAGACAATCTCTATATACACACATATCCATCTGCACAGATGCTCACTTTACAACACATTAAGAAGCACTGACTTCATAGACTAATGTACACTGGTACCCTAAAGTCCTTTTTCCCTTTTTCTGGATATCAAGTGATGCATCTACTGTTCCACAGCCATTCACTCTCAATGGGGACAGAACTATTTAGATCTATGTCCCTGTGACCTCTTGGGCTGACATTTACTAAGGGGAGTGGTTATTTGTAGTCTGTAGCTCTGCAGTTCTTGTGGCATGCTTGGGACTCATCTTTTTCCATTTCTAGATCAATGTCTACCAAATACAGCTTTGAGTAAAAGATTAACTAGATAACTGGAAAAGATGATTTCTAAGTCACCAAGAAAAAAATAGCACAAAGAATTCTTGCTGGCTCAGGAACTCATAGGGAGGACACTGGGTTGGCCCCTCTCCAAGTCCAGCAGTAACAGCCACTGGCGCCTAGCAATGCTGCTGAGCAAGCCAAGAGGAAGCTGGGGGAGAGCTCCAGGAGTCACTGAGTCTCTTACCATTGCACAGGTCAGACATGAGTGTACATGGTGCCTCTGGAACCTACTGGTCTTTCCTAAGGAGCACTCTCCAACACAAAGGGGCCTGCACAAAAGTGGTACTTGCCACAGACTCAAGGAGTCTTTTTTTTTTTAATAGATGAAGGTATAGGAACTGTTCCATGGCAATGTGGGATTTAGCACAGACTGCTCTGAGGGGGTCACTCAGACTTACTAGGGATTCCTGGGATTCTATGTGATCTCAGTTCTCCAAGTCCTAAAACACGTGCGCGGCCAAAGACACCTGGGTACACTGTTCCTGCACCTCTGGACCTTACCTCCACACATCACTGCCTTTGGAAAACATGGAGGAACGAATGACTTCAGGTGCCATCCAAGCATAGGTCCCTGCAGCACTCATCTTGGTGGTTCGGTGCCATTCTCGAGCCAGGCCAAAATCAGTGATCTTCAGAATCTTGTTGCTCAGGTCTCCATTCTCCACCTTCTGCAGGATCAATACTGGGCAAGGAAAAAAATACAGAAGAAACCAGAGTCTGCATTAATCACAGGGACACCATGAACACAGAGCCTTCCTGTCATTTTCCTGGCCTCTCCTGCAGGATTCCATAGCTCTGTTATGGTGGAATGATGGTAAGAGCCATCATTTCTCAAACACCTTCAATGTATTCATTTTTGTGCTACATACTTTATAGGTATTGCCTCTAATACAAACACCTTACAAGGTAAATAATATAGGTTGAACATCCCTAACCCCAAAATGATTTAAGGGTACTGAACCAGTAAAGTCTATAAATTTTTCCAACACTGAAAACAATCCAAAATTGGAAACACTCTGATTCCAGGCATTTAGGACAATGGATATTCAGCTTATCCTGCTTTACAGATGCAGAAACTGTGACAGAGCACTTTAAATCAGATTCCCAGAGTCACCCAACTAAGACTCCAGCACTGAAGCCCAGGCAGAGCCTGTCCTCTTCACCTACAGCCCATTCACACCTTGTGAAGGATGAGCTGTGAGTCATAGGTGACCTTCTGAGAAGCTACTTGGACCTCCCCTCTGCCAGGGCACCTCTAGGTTTTATCCACGACACAGAAGCTACAGGTGCATGTGGATTATCAAGGGTTCTGACAGTATCTGGACAATATCCACCAATCTTTCCATGTTACTTTACCTTTTTTTTTTTTTTTCCTTTTTTCGGTACCAGGGATTGAACCCAGGACCTTGCGCTTTCGAGGCAGGCACGGCGCCACTGAGCTAAATCCCTGGCCCTACCTAACTCTTAAAATAGCATGTCTCTTTGGCTCTGGAGATTTCCACAGGATCCAGAAACTCTCCTCTACCCACTGGGAATTGGCTGCATCAGCTGGAAGATCAGATACACACATGTTCACCATGATACTATCTGTGACACATCCCAGGAAGGAGGAACTGTGCACTGCAGAAATTATACTCTGGGCTCTAACTAGTGCCAAACACTAACACCAAAGCACTAGAGTATAGGAGCCACCCTGGCGCTCCTAGAGCAGCAGCAGAGGCAGCCACTTCACCCCCATGATGATTTCAGGGATAAATATGTCCTTCCGGGAGCAGATCTTGCTAAAAAGATCAAAACCAATAACTACTAAAGGGCTGTAAGGTAGCCAAGAAACTCAGAGTGGACAGCAAGTGAGCTCTCTGAATACATGGAAGCCAAGTCTCCATTTTCACAAGTGGGATGGTTGCAAAGAGGTTATGTTCTGTGCAAGCATAACCTCTTAGGGGCCAGACACCGGTAACCTGGAATTTCACAACTCTGTATGCAAGATTTCAGAGCAGGAAGGTTGGTTCCCTCTTCATCTCTGCTATTCAAGTCCAATGGCAAGAGTGCCAAAGGAACCTACTGAAGACAGACTAATGAGGAAAAATGCTGATTCAGCTGTACCCAGGCAGTTCTAACCAGGGAAACGGAACAAACTGCAAATGAGTCTTCAGCCCTGTGTGTGCCAGGTTATTCCAGAAAACTCCTGCTAGCTCTGAACTCCCTTCTTCCATGGATTCTCTATTTGATGATGTACCTTTACTTTTTAGAGTTATTTGCATTAAAAGATGCTCTTCCACATCTAAAGAAAGGAACCTTTGATGGTGGTACTTCTGGGTGCCCATTTTAGGGGAGGAGTGGAGGCAGCTGGCTCTGGCCACACATTCATACTCTTCTTTCCCTGCCCCAACTCCCACTGCAATGTCCACTGAATAGTTACACATTGAAAGGATGTGGATCGAAGATCTCTATGTCCTACGTGCTTTTCAGAAAAGGAGCAGCACAGAGGGATTACTAGTAGCTATAGAGCTGGAGGAGAAAAGAAAACAGCCACTCCCTGGACCTGATGGACTAACCCTCTTTCCTCCACACCCTCCCCCATCCTGACACACTCCTCCCTACCTCAGGCTCCCAGCATCCCAACGGGATGCAGGCCTTCGAATACTTAGGCATATTTTTAAGAAAAAAGGGGACAAAAACTTCCCGTCTCATCTATGAAAAAAAAGTCTTTCTAGAGAATTCTGTGGCAGAGATAAGTGGACACTCAAATGGCCAGGCAAGTAATACTAAGGAAGCCATCACTCCCACTTGCGCAGTGGTCACCAGCCACTGCTGTTTCTCTAAGCAGCCCATAAACACAAAACTCTGAGTGAGTCCTTCCTCTTCCATACTCTAAGGGGTTCAGTCCTGAGCGGAGTGGGGAAGAGGATAAAGGTTTACAAGATCAGCCTGTGGGATGCCTTTAAAAAGGGATGCCAAATGATGAGGCAGGCATAGCCCGATCAGCCCACCTGAATGGGATCTCCTTAGATTGTAGAGCCACAGCTCAGGCACCTGACAGCATCTGATTTAGGAATTCCAGGCCAAGGGGTCTTGCCCTCAAGAAAGAAGAGAGCCTGTAATCAGAAGCCAGCTAGAAATTTTGGCAAAGGACCACAGGCAATAGCGTCCTGAAATAATGGCATCTACAAGCATCTTTTACTGCTAATAATTAAAGCACCAGAGTGTGGAAGCTCTACTCTTGTTTTGTACACTTCTTTTCTTTGATTGAGATGAAATCTGAATAACATAAAATTAACCATTTTAAAGTGAACTATTCAGTGTCATTTGGTACATTCACAATGTTATGTACCACCACCACCTCTATCCAATTCCAAAACATTTTCATCACCCTCAAAAGTAGCACATACCCGTTAAGCAATTATTCCCCACCCTCTCCTAGCAACCGCCAATCTTCTTTGTCCCTATGGATTTACTCTTAATGTTTCATATAAATGAAATCATACAGTATGATATACATGGTCTATCTTACTTAAAAGTTTTTGTTGTTGTTGTTTTTGGTACTGGGGATCGAACTCGGGACCTTGCACTTGCCAGGCAGGCAGCAGAACCACTGAGCTAAATCCCCGGCATATCTCACCTAAAGTTTTCAAGATTTATCTACAGCATTGCTTAGACCATAACTTCATCCCTTTTAATGACTGAATAATAATCCATTACGTTTGTGTGTGTATACTACAATTTGTTTATACATTTGTCTGCTGACATTTGGGTTGCTTCTACTTTTCAGTACTGTGACTAGTGTTCCTATGAACATGTGTATATTATTTTCAATTTCGAGGGTATATACCTAGGAATGCAATTGCTGGATCATATAGTTATTCTATGTTTCTTTGAGGGACCACCAAACTGTTTTCCATAGCAGCAGAATTATACATTTCTAAGAGCAGAATATGAGGGTTCCAATTCCTTCACATCCTCACTAACACTTATTTCCACCATTGTCATCCTAGAGAGTGTGAAAACTATGACACTGTGGCTTAGATCTGCATTTTTTCTAATGGACTAATGCCATTGAACATCTTTTCATGTGCTTACTGGCCATTTGTATACTTTCTTTGGAGAAATGTCTATTCAATCCACTGATTTTTTTAAGTGTGTGGCTTATCTTTTTATTGTTACATTATAAGAGTTCCTTATATATTCTGGATACTAGACTGTTATCAAATAGGTGATCTGCAAATATTTTTCCTGTTAAATAGGCTGTCTTTTTACTTACTTGATAATTTCTTTTGGTGCATAAAATTATTAATTTTACATGAAGTCCATTTTATCTACTTTTTCTTTTGTTCATGTTGTGCTGTAAATCTAAGAATTCACTGCTGTGATGGTTGACTGATTGTGTTAACCTGAGTAAGAGACGCTCAAGTAAATTGGCTTAGCAATTCCAGACCCTAGGGCGGCCTGGCACCTATTTGGTATAAAGGGAAAATGAAGAAGGACAGATCTGCTTCTGTTTCTTTGGAGGCGCTCCAGTCTTCAGCTTCACCTTGGACGTCATTTTCTGGCTTCCAGCAGAAACCCTTCAGCTTCCGGCACAGACTCCCAGCCTTCCCTTGAAGACCCATCGGCCTCCTGATACAGACCCCCACGGGACACTGCAGTGAGCTCCAGACCTTCGACTGGATCCTTTGGATCTCCAGTGTGCAGGCAGATCCTCTGCACTCTTCCTCATGCAACTATGTGGATGGCCACTGTGAGCCAATCTTGTAAATTCTTATATATTTATATATCTTGTGTTATATCTATTTCTCACTTAATCCCAGCCAAAAGGCCAAGAAGTAATATATATCTATTTCTCTAATAAACACTGACTGACACAACTGCCAAACCCAAGGTCATGAAGATTTACCTCTATGTTTTCTTCTAAGAGTTTTATGGTTTAAGCTCTTATACTTAGGTCACTGATTCACTTTTAGTTAATTTTTTTTATCTATCATATAAGGTAGGGGTTCAAATTCATTCTCCAGCATATACCCATGTATCCTAGCACCATGTATTAGAGGAAAACTTTAAAACATACACAGCATGGAGCACAGTTCTCTCCAAATATGCTCTCCAGAGTGAGAGAGAAAGGTTATTTTTACAGTAGCTTCTGTATCTGTATCTCTGTGGTGAACCCTCTGTAAACTTCCACCACTGACAAACAGCTGCAAAAATAAATTATTGTGCTTTCCGATCTTGGTGAAGTTCAAGTGCACTGTGTTAACCTCAGCTCTCACATGTAGGGCAAGGACAAAATACTTAAAACAATGAATGATTTCAGGCCCAAGTCAATAAGGGCCAGGCCAGGATCAGGGCAACAAAGAGAAAAAGATATATTTGAACTAAAGACCTGATAATTAACCAGACATAGGGACTTGATGGAGTAGGGAGAGGTTTCTAGCCTTTCAAGGTAACTGGAAGGGTTGTAATGCTACTGGGAAGTTGAGAGAAAAAGGACATTTGAGGAAGCTGAGTTCAATTTTGGACTTAATAGGTCCAGGTGATAATAACAATAGTCAGTATGGAACAGAAGGGAAAAAAAGGAACTTTGATCCTACACCTGATACTATGTGATCCTGGATAAATTCCATAGACTCTAGACCTTAATTTCTGCTTCTAAAAAAATGAGGATAATGACTAAAGGCAACACAGTAA